AATCCTATAATAGAGGTATTAGGAAAGTCATGTGAGACCATACTGAAAGGAGAAATTAGTTAGCACACAGAAGGATTTTATAACAGTCATGACATTTTCTCTGGGCCTTGCTATTTGAATAGGATTTTGTCAAATATTTATAATGTGATAGAAAGCTGACAGACATTTTCCAAACACGCAAACGGGCACATAAGTGTATATGCCAACGTGCATTCTACCCAATGTTTTTTTTTTCTTTCAGTGTTGTATGAAATCCATGTATCCATGGAGAGGTAGAGGTCTTCTCTCCTGTCTGTTGAGCTTGGGCAGGATTTTGCAACTGCCTGGATGAACAGAACATAATGGTAGCACAATGGCGTGGCTTCTGGGATCGATTATTCAGCTTCTACTGGGCAGAATATGCTCACCCTGGGAACCCGGTCACCATGCTGTGAGGAAGCTCTCGCTAGCCCATGTGAAAAGACCACTTAAATGGGCTCATGTGGAGAGGAACTGAGGCCCCCAGTGGATAGCCAGCAGCAATGGCCAGATAGACGAGGGAGCCAGCCTTCAGAAGATTCCTGTCCTGGCCTTTGAGCTCCTCAGCTGAGGCTCTGACATCTATCTATCATGGAAGAGGCAAGCCATCCCCACTGTGCCTTGTCCTAGTTCCTGACCCAGAGAATCCAAGAACATAATAAATGGTATTTACACCACAGAACTTAGACCAGCATGTCAGCCTGAAACAAAGACAGTCTAAAGAAAAGGGACTACACACGGAATGTCGCAGAGTCCTGAGAGTACTGACTGTTTGGAGTAATGGGATCAGAAAGATAAGCTGGGATCAAACTATGGAAATTTCATATGACAATATGAAAAAATTAGATTTATCTCACTGGCAGCAGAGTGTTGTTGACAGGTGTGAAGCTGGGAAGTGAAATGCTAGGATCTGCATTTTAGCAAGCCAGGGAAAGGCTGGAGAAAAGAAAGGCTTAAAAATAGGAAAAGGATCTAGGGAGATGGCTCAGTAGATAAAGTGCTTGTTGCACAGAAAAGCAGAGTAGGCGTGGAGCCTGACCACAACCCTAGCACTCAGGAGACAAAGACAGGATTCCAGTCTTCCAGTGCTTCCAGTGCAAGCAGGCTAAAGAAGCTAGTAGGAATTGGTGAGCTCTGGATTCAGTGAGAGCCTGACTCAGTAAACAAAGTAGAAAGCCACTGGGAATGACACCTGCATTAACATCAAGTCTCTTCTATATATGGCATGTGCATACACTTGCACACACACATCCATACATGAACACACACACCCCACATACCCACATATTAAAAATAACAAGAAGAGCCCGTCTGGCTTAGATGGGTTCTGGCTAAGAAAAACAGTAGAGACATTCCCTTGTGTAGCATGTTCTGTGGCTTCTCATCTTCAGGGTGGCCTCTGAAGCTATACTCAGCTTCACTTGTGTTAAAGTGTTAGAGGGAAAAAATATATTCATACAAAACCCCATATCTGCAGAACCAAAAGCAACCAAAGTGTCCTATAGTGGGCAAACCAATGATCTTATTCTATACTCAGGAGAAAGGAGGGATCCTGCCATGAGGAGAACTTTCCGTCAGGTAAGAACCTCAAAGAAGCCAATCTAAAGTAGGTGCTTATGCATGATTCCAGTGCTGTGGCATTCTAAGAAAGGAAACACTACACAGACAGTAAAAAGGTCAGTGGCTGACAGGACTGAGGGAGGCAGGGGTGAACAGTGGAGCACAGAGGGAGCGTGGGGCAGGGCTACATTGTATGGTGATAGTGGATGTATGCCATGCTAGTTAAGCTCACAGAATGTCCCGCACCAAGAGTGAACTGGGACAAAGCTACAGACTTAGAATGACCATCGCATCAACACAAGTCTGACTGTTAAAAACGTGGTGAGCGACAAGCTGGATGTGTTTTGCACAAGAGCAGAGACATGCTGCACTTTCCACTGAGTTCTGCTGTGAATCTAAAACTGCTCTCAAAAAGAAAGTCTATATTTGAAATGCTAGGAGGCAGAAATGTTAGACGATGTTAGAATACAAGAAAGTTTTCCTACTGCTCTGCCTTCAAGCTTTCGGACTTCGTCTGCCTGCTGTAAAGGATGTCACAGGAACAGTAAGCAAGGCAGATGTGGTGGCATTAACCTTCAATGCCAGCACCCAAGCGGCAGAGACAGGTGGATCTGAGAGTTCTTTCCAGGACAGCCTGGTCTACGTGGTGAATTATAGGCCAGCCAAAGCTACACAATGAGACACTGTCTCAAAAATTAATTAATTAAAATTTAAATGTCAAGCAAACTGTCCCTGGATTATAGCCATTTATAGCAATTACCTGTGCAAATGCCATCCCACACACATATTACCACAACCTCAAGTTTTGTTGCATTTATTAAAATATTCTTTAACTTCTCATAAGTAAACGAAGGAACCATTTATGAAGGTGCCCTTGTGCTTGTAAAGAAAGTGAGCCCACACTAACACACTGGGGGCCATGAGGAGCCACCTCTGTGAGACAGGACAGGACGATTGAGAGCCGGAAAAGCAGAGAGACAAGGTGAAGGGTACTGAGGACATCTAATGAAAGCTTTTGGGTCCAGTCCCAAGACACTCTAGCCCAAGGCCCTCTCAGGGTTTACAGAGGAAGTAACAGCCAGCAAAGATCTGAGGGCAAATGAACAAACTCACATATGGTTTTGTTTTTTGTTTTAATCAGCCTTTTAATTCTTCTGCTTCTTTTCTAATACTCCTGTCCTACTTCTAACTTCTCCTCGATTCTTCCTCTAGATTTTTTTCCTCTGGCTTCAAAACTCTTTTCCCCCAGGAACCTTGATGCAATAAAGAAATTACAAGGGGGGTTGGAGAGATGGCTCAGAGGGTAAGAGCACTGATTGCTCTTCCAGAGGTTCTGAGTTCAATTCCCACCAACCACATGGTAGCTCACAACCATCTGTAATGGGATCTGGCATCGTCTCTGGCGCAAGTGTATATATAATAAATAAATAATTTTTTTTAAAAAAAAGAAATTACAAGGGCTACTTCTCATTGGTTATAAGCACATCCCTAGGGTAAGTGATAAGGAGTTTAGCCATTGCCATGGCAACACAAGGGTTTCAAGGTTTCAGCAGTAAAACTGTAACCAGATTTGGGCTGGGGGGCACAGTGCCCAATAGCAAACTTTGTTTGAGACATGGGTCTTTTGTTAGCAGACTAGCAAGTGAAGAACTGGCATGCTTTTCTTAGGGTGCTTTGTGTAGCAACCTAGGTTGGACATCTGTGACTCTGACCTTGTGCACAGCTGTAAGGTTTTAAATTTATGATCTATTTACAAAAAGCCTCTAGTCTAATATTACCTAAGTAAACAAAAAGCCTCTAGTCTAGCTTGAACTTGCTTTGAGGTAAAAGTGAGCTGTGTACAGTTAGCCTAAGCAAAAGAACAAGGCAGGCTTTTAAATGTCCACAGCCCTTGTGGGACAAATAGATCTAGTTATAAAGCATGTCCCAGAATATATTCTATACACCAAAATTATTTAACTAAATGAAAAGCCATCTTCCTAAACATCCACAGATATATGTGCCCATATTGATGCAATCATGAGATGCAATCATGAGATTACATGTACACATCACCTGAAAATGCATGGTAATGGGAGATATCATAGCTGTTATTACACAAGGGAAATTACAGAGGAAAGCAACAGTTTTCAGAGTCAGTGGTCTGCAAGCCTTGCTGACAGGGTACCCATCAGGGAATACTTTCGCTGCTGGGTTGACATCTGAATTATCAATTGCTATCTGATGTAATTGTGTCACAACAGCTCGTGATAAATGTTCCTGATAGATGTCTCATTCATATCTTGGTGAAGGATGGTCCACCCTACTTGCTGAGCAAACCTAGAGGAAAGCCTATTGCAGCCAGATGCAGTGTGGTGTAGAGTGTGCACTTAGCATGTATGCCATGAGGCCTGGGCTCCATCTTCAGCTCCAAAGTATATCACAAACTGGGACTTCATGTAGAGCAGGGACTGGAGGGAACGGTTCAACCAGAGCCAGAACACAGGGTCCTGACAGCAGCAGAGCCTAGATGAGACCCAATATTGTCATTTATTGGAGGTGACTTTGTGTCATTTTGTGTATTTATCCTGTGCCCTTTCCTCCAGGTTTTTTGAGACAGGGTCTTACACTGCAGTCCAGGTTGGCATGGATGTGGCTGGCTTTAAGTTTGTGGCAATCCTTCTGTCTCATCATGCTGAGTGGCGGGATTGCAAATGTGAGCCACCACACCCAGATCTATACTGTGCCCTTTTCTAATGTCAGTTATTCACAAGATGATTAAGTAAGCTGTGGCAATGAGGCTGGCTGTGCATTATGCTTATGCACATTTTCATTTAATGCCTGTTTTAGAAGGCGCTACCTCATTAAACTTCATCAAAAATAAATTACACTAAAAACATACTAAAATTGGGCTGGAGAGATGGTTCAAGAGTTAAGAGCACTGGCTGCTCTTACAGAGGACACAGGCTCAATACCCAGCACCCACATGGTGGCTCACAGCTGTCTATAATGCCAGTTCCAGAGGATTTGCTTCCCTCTTCTGACCTCCATGGCACAAAGGCACACATGTGGAACACAGACAAATATGCATGCAAAATACTCATACATATTAAAAAGTAATAAAAATAAATCTTTTTTAAGAACAGAAAATTAGTTCTGCTCTCTAAAGCTTTCGAAAAAGTTCAAGGTTTACAGTTAATTTTTAGACAAAATGAAAAAGAAATGAAAGAAACAAAAGTCAGTGAAGCAAGTGACTGACAAACTGGGAGCCTAACTAAGGCCATGGCTGGATAGATTTATCATACAGTCCTGTCCCGATTACCAGCAACAAACCAAGTCAAGTGTTGCTATATTTCAAAATCAAATCTTATATTTGTGCAGACTTCCCTTCTAGCACATCTTACACGTGTTTCTGGAGAAACTTCTGTCCATAACCAAATTACCTGTATCCCAGAGGTTGCAGACTTCCGCTTCCCCTTCTGACATCCAGGAAGTAGGAGAGGTGATGGGAGGAGGTACCGCAGGCAAAGGTTGCTTAGGATACTCGTCATGCAATAATGTTAGGTCCTGACAGAAACAAGAAAGAATACATGCATTGAAAACCACAAGCTGCATCAGAGAGATGGTTCAGCCATTAAGGAAAGGCTGGAGCTGAGTTCCAGCATGTGCATCCAACAGTTTGCAATTGCCTGTCGCTCCAGCTCCAGGAGATCTGATGCCTCTGGCTTTGGAAGGCACTGCACTCACGTGCACATACCCAGACATATGATCAAAAGAAAATCGGGTGTGTTGGCTAGTTTTATGCCAACTTGATACAAGTTATAGTCACTGGAAAGGAGGGAGCCTCAATTGAGAACATGCTTCCATAAGATCAGGCTGTAGGCAACTCTGTGGGGCATTTTTAAATCAGTGATTGATGGGGGAGGGCCCAGCCCATTGTGGGTGGAGCCATCCCTGGGCTGGTGGGTCCTGTCATCTCCTCCCCCACCCCCCACCCCTGTTTATAAGAAAGCAGGCTGAGCAAGCCAGGTGGAGCAAGCCAATAAGTAGCATACCCCATAGCCTCTGCCTCAGCTCCTGCCTCCAGGTTCCTGCCCTCAGTGCTTTGAAGATAACTATTACATGGAACTGTGAGTGAAATAAACTCTTTCTTCCCCAAGTGGCTTTAGGTCATGGTGTTTCATCATAGCAACAGTAACCCTAACTAGGACTTGACGTGTTTGGGATCTGACATGATTTCAGCATTTCTATCCCAGGCTCCTACAAATCTGTTTGGCCTGTCCTTTTGACATTTAAAGTGTGTTATATAAATGGGACCACACACTATGCAACCCTTTAGGACTGGCTCTTTTCATCTAGCGCAGTTCCCTGAGACTCACCCAAGCTGTTGTGTACACCAAAAGTTCCTTCCTCTTCCCTGCTGAGTGCACACCAGACACTTATGTTTAACCCATTCAAATACATCTGGTTCTTTTTAGATTTGGGCTGTTACAGACAAAATTTCTGGGAGCAGATTTTTATATGCTATAAGTAAATTTCCATGTCTATGAGATATTATGGGTACCGTTGTTAGGGTATATGGATGTGTATTCAGGTTTTGTTGTTTTTGAGACAAGATCTCACTATGTAGCCCTGACGGGCCTAGAATTCACAGAGATCCATCTGCCTCTGCCTCCTGGGTTCGGGATTAACTGTACCCAGCACAGACACCTATTCAGTTGGTTTTAATTTTTTTAAAGATTTATTGGGCTGGAGAGATGGCTCAGCGGTTAAGAGCATTACCTGCTCTTCCAAAGTTCCTGAGTTCAATTCCTGGCAACCACATGGTGGCTCACAACCATCTGTAATGAGGTCTGGTGCCCTCTTCTGGCCTGCAGACATACACACAGACAGAATATTGTATACATAATAAATAAATATATTTTAAAAAGATTTATTTATTTATTGTGTATGAAAGTTTAGCCTGCATGTGTATCTATGAACCATTGTATCTCTTGTGCCCAATGAGACCAGAAGAGGGTATTGAATCCCTTGGAACTGGACTTACAGGTGGTTGTGAACTGCCATTTGGGTGCTGAGAACAACATCTGGGTCCTCTACAAAAACAGGAAGTGTTTTTAACCACAAGCCCTATCTCCCCACAATGTATTCCATTTTATAAGATACTACCAGTTGTAGGGTGACTTCACCTTTTTAAATTCCTACCAGCAAAACAGGAGCAGTCTGATCCCTCCACATCCTAATCAGCATGTGGTACTGTCACTGTTTCTGGTTCAGCCATTCTGAGAGTTCACTGTGTGTGCCTCCAGGCTAACAATGCTGGCCATCTCTCCCAGCATTCCTTTACTATCCATATTTGCTGAAATAATATTCATTTTATTTGCCCACCATCTGGCTTCAAGTTTGCTAAGTTCTTCCATAAATGGGCGCTGGACTCTATCAAATACATTACTCTATCAAGTGAAATTATCTTATGATTTTTCTTTAGCTTGCTAACAAGACAAATTACAAGAGCTCAGACTGACACGTCACCAGCTCAAGTCAAGCCTATCAGACTATGAGAATCTCTTCTGTTTTGTATCTGTATCTTCTTTTATTCCATGCAAAGGCTATAAAAGATAATGCAAATAGAGTGTATCCATGGTTACCTGTTGGATTTTGCACACATTAAACTCATCATCATTTCAGAGCAAAAATACTAACATCACAGAAGAAAACCCCCAAATGAATGCAAGGTTCATTAATTTCATTTTATATTTTAGTAATTATGGTTTATAATGATACAGAGCTTTTCAGGTTCTCAAAGGCAAAAATCTACACATAGTTGTGTGTGTGTGTTTAAATCTATGTCCTTCATTGATGAGAAAATGTGGTGTCTGGTATCTGAATCTGGCTTATTTTACCATGATTTTCATGGCAGTTTTATTCATGATGAACAAAACTTGGAAGCAAGCTTTGGTAGATAAATGGGTGAATCAGTAGAATGTCATTTAGTGCTAAAAAGAAGTGCAAACTTCTACATCGTTAACCATTTTCATTGAGTTGTGTGTGTGTGTGTGTGTGTGTGTGTGCAAGAACACATGTCTATGCACAAGCATTTGAAGGTTGGAGGATCATTTGGGATGCCCTCTTTTCCTCTATGCCTTATTCTCTTGAGACAAGGTCTCTTCACACTGAACCTTGAGCTCGCTGTGGTTTGTAGTAATAACTCCTGTCTCTGCCCTCCCTGTCCCCGTCCCTCCATTCAGCACTGCAGTCACAGATGCTCATGGTCACACACACTTTCTTGATGTGGGTCCTCAGGCTCTGAACTCAGGTCCTCATGCCTGCACAGCAAGTGCTCTCACTGACTGGGCCATCTCTTCAGCCCCACAAATAAAATTCTTAGCAGAACAGAGCTTTCAAAAGTAGAGCAGGGCTCACCAGAGTATTACTTTCAAAACTAAGGAAACATTTTATGTTTATAATTGACACTTCTCTGTTTTCTTTCTTCAGACTCTCCATAGTTTTTATCATTAAATTTGATAATAAGGTTATTTGTAGCTTTTATTACCTCAAAAATTAAACAAAAATAAAACAAAAACAAAACTCAAAAAAACCTTCTTTGCTGCCCAAGGACACTGGATGAAAAAAAAAAAAAACAACCAAGGCTGCAATGGGGGGGGGAAGAGTTGCAGCTGTTTCCATAGCAACTGATAGGGATGTTGTGAAGTGTTTCACACAAAATTAAAGCTGACCAAAACCTTCTATGTCGCTGTGAGTTGCTAAATCAATAGTGATGGACGATAAATGTCTGTTCTGCTACTTCCACGAAGTATTTTGCAAAATGAAAAATATACAGATTTTGCCCTTTGGTTTATTTCTGTGCAATTTGTCCTATTTGCAGAAATTTGAACTTATCAGAGTTGTTAGAGAAGTGGAAATTATGCTTAATCTAATTATGTTTGTTCATCATTCCCATCTCTGCTACATCATTGCTTCTGCTTAAATGTCCATTTAATGGCTATATTTGTGCTTTTATTATTAATTTTTAGAGAAAATACTCACTGCAAAACACCAAACAACATGAATGGTAAAGAACAGAGAACGAAGTTCCTGCCCATTCTTTCAAAGGCGGTGCCTCTCCTGGGGCAGCTAGTGGAAGCTAAATGGAGTCTATGTGTGTGTGTGTGTGTGTGTGTGTGTGCATGGATTACTCTCTAGCCTGCTCAGGAGCAAGCAATCTACCTTGTCCATCTTTCTACATAATAAATATAATAATTCATCGTGTGCTGTCCCCACAAAGGCTTCTTTCACTGAAGTACATATTACAAATGTGCTTCTTTCAAGACAAGCTGAGCTGTGTTCCTGATGTGTAAATTAACTTCATCATTCCCTACTGGTAATCATTTCAAGATTTTTCTTGTTTCTATCTATTAAAATTGCTGCAATAAAAAGCTTCATACAGCCACCTTTTCAAGCTGTATGTTCATAGTGGCATCGCTGAGTACTCACATGGGCTTGTTTTGAGTGTGAACGGTGCCAAATTGTGCTCTCAGAAGTGGCACCTGCTTGGATCCAGCAGTGTGTTGGAGAGACTCTTCCTCTCAGTGCAAATACAGGTTGGTAGCAATTAAACATTTTTTCCATCAGTGGTAAAGGCATACAATTTTGTTTTACCTAATTGCATATGAGACTGAGTAAGATTTTGTGAGGTATTTCACCTTTTCAGGTGCATATGTTTGGTGCTATAGATTGGATTCAGGGCCTTACGTACATAAAGCGAGTGCCACTTAGCTGCAGCTCCAGCCCCCTCCCCCCGCTTATCAATTTATTAAAGAAATTTAATGTATTAATTACTCATTTTTGGGGTGTAGGGGAGGGGACACACATGCCATAGTTCATACACAGACATCAGAGTACAACTTGCGGGAGTCGGTTTTCTCTTCTTCCACTACATGGGTCCCAGGGATTGGACTCAGGTCCACAGGATTCACCCGCAGAGCCATCCTGACTGTCGTCCTCTTTATCAATTTATAAACTGATGATGCATTTAAAAAGTATATCATTAACAGCTTAGTGTTCATTGTTAGTTTTTAACTTCTTAAGAATTTCTACTTTATCTTTTTACCTGATAGAAGTCTTAACTTTTGTGTAGCTCATCAGCTCACCAATTCCATTACTACTCCTGGAGTTTCATTATTCTCAGAAATACTTGTCTTACTTGAAGACTTTATAAAAAGTCTCCTCTAAGAAAGCAGAATACATTTCAGCGCTATTTTGGCTTTACAGACTAATTGAGCACAGGGTACTTACTGGTTTTCGGTGCACACTGCTGTCCATCTTACCTGCAGCATTACTGTAGGCATGGTCCCTGAATGACTGCAGACACATACTCACTCAGGTCTGTAGTTAGCACTGAACATACCCCTGCTGCCATTCATGCTTTGGGGTCTGGCAAAGGTCTAATGACACATGCTGATCATTATTGTATAGAGAAGTTTCCCCCAAAGCCCTCCCTGAGCTGCCAAGAGACCCTTCCTGCACCCCAGAGACTCCAATCCTTGTACTCTCCGAGTCTGCCCTTCCCAGACCCCTCTTGCTGGATTCCTGTGGTACATACATTGTCAATGACCTCTTGCACTTAGTAATGGGCATTAAAGTTCCCTCCACTCATTTATGGATTACTGGCTCATTTCTTTTTATTTCATTTTAATTTTTTCCACTATTTTTCTTAGAAGACTTAAGTTTACGTAATGAAAACTAATGAAACATGAACAGAACCAAATAAAAATGAAACTTGGGGCTGGAGCAGCAGCTCAGTCAGCAAGAGCACTTGTTGCACAGGTGTGAGGACCTGAGTTCAGATCCCCAGCACCCATGTTAAAAAAAAAAAAAAAGTTGGGTGCGACCATGCGCATTAGCTGTTCTTCCACAGGATCGGAGTTCAGTTCCCAGGATCCACATCTGTTGGCTTAACAACTGTCTGTAACTCCAATTTCAGGGATCTAACACCTCTGACCTCCAAGGCACTGAACACAGGAGACATTCACTCATATAGGCATACATAGCCATATAAATAAATCTCTAAAAATAGATTCTAAAATAATTTTGTCTCTTTTAAGATAATTTACTCTCGATTGTGGAAAGAGAATAGTTAACGAGGTTTCTATTTGAGTTTTTTCAGAGATATTTCAAAGGCACCTCACTCTGCCTGAGCCCTGGACATGGCTCCCTTCTGCATGGGGAATCAAGGGGCTGGCTGGTCTTGTAGATGAGCCCCTCCAGGCAGTTCACCACAACAGTTAGCTTTACTGTTCAGCGTGCTAGAGTTTGTCTTTTGCTACAGGAACAGCTAGAGAAGATATATTGGACTGCACTGAATGTCCTGGTGTAACAGGAGGCCATGCTTGTCAGGAAGTTGATGGGATATTGTTAACACACAATCGTGTCTTAGAAAGTTGAAGCTCAGCTTCCAGAACACTTCCTGTGTAAACAGCTACCATCTTCTCACTGACACAAAATACGGTACTATATAAACCAGTGAGTGAGGGCGCCTCTAAAACCAGACAAAAGTGTCAGGACCTAAAGGCTGACATAAGAAATCAGGTGGCGTTTGATGTCTCTGGTCCTACTACACAGAGGGATATTCAAGTCTGTTCTACTGAAAAGCTACCAGAGATCATGAAAGAGTAAATTTTAAAATCATTTCACCTCATGTCTTATCTTTTTAAATTATCTAGTTTTATTTTTTAAAAATCTGTAAGTTGTACATTAAAGGACAGTAAAATTGAACTATATAAATCCCTTTTCAAAGTTGTAGGAAAGCCATTAAATTCAGTACCTAAAAGGGCTGAGGAAAGAGTCAAGATTCCGAACCTCCTTCCCAAGAAATGCAGTAGATGGTCAAGGAGCTGCATTCATAGGAAAGGAAGAGCAGGCAGCACACTGGATCTCTGTTCATACAGGAAGGAGGCAGGAGCCACCTGAGGGGACGAGGGGACACACACACTTCTCCAGCAGCTGGTCACATGATGGGATACACTGACCTGGCTCTATGGAACAGATGGGCAATATCTCTGACATCAGTGAAAGAGGGGAACCTCAACCTGCTAGTGTAAGTCCTGCAGCTAGCAGGCAAATGAGGACCTGTTAATCAGGGAGGCTAAGAGGGACTCTAGACCTACACACACACACACACACGCATGCACGCACGCACACACACATGTACACATGACCCATGCAAGAAAAGCTTATGATCCAGTAGTCTAAAATCAAAAAGTTCACTCTTGGCAAAAGGAAAATAAACAGATCTAAAACCATCCAAATAAAATACGTGCAGACACCGCGAAAGGACAATGGAGAGGACAGTCAGTGACGGAGAAGCAGGGGCTGCTGCTGTGTCTGCTATCCCAGCCTTTCCCGCTCTAAATGGCACATGTTTCTATAGGACTTTCCCACCTAACATCTGTCTCTGTGCTTCCATCAAGTCTGGGGAAACTCTTTAGTACTAAAATTACCACTAAGAGAAAAGTGCACAAGAACAGAACTAAGTAAGGGTGAGTGAACAGAAGTGATCCGAGGTCCTGGGAGAGAAGGCAGACGCTGAAATGGAAACAACTCCCAGGGCAAGGACAGTTCTAGGCACCAACAAATGAAAGGACACATGGACTGGAAGACAGCCTAAAATGCAGCAGGAACGATGGAAGACAAAAAATAATTGACAGATTAAATGGTCCAAATGCATTGTTAATAGATACTAAGCAGAAAGAATTCCAAAGCAATAGAAAAAATAAACAGCACAAACTAAAAGAAAACTCAACATGATTTTGCCTTGTTGATATTTAAAACCCCTAATAACATAAAACGCCGATGTCAAGATGCATCTTTCAGCACATAACCCGCAGAGCTGCAAAGGAACACACTCAGGTTTTAATGCACGTGCTTGGTTACCTGGCACAATGGCAAAGGGAACTGGAGCATCTCACCTCTGTTGATTTCCATGTCTTCATCCTGAGCAGAGGAGAGTCCTTGGACAGGGAGGGCTCAGCAGGCAAGGGGACATCCTGGCACTGCTCCAGCCTCAGTCTTGCCTTGGAGGTGTTTTCTGCCAACAACATAAACTGTCAACAAAGCTTTACTTTGGAAAAAATGTATTATTTTTGCATTTGTATATAACTTTAATTACTTTTGAAGATTAATTCCACCTATTAAATTCACATCACACACCAATATCCACCTCTGAGGATGCACTACTTCACAACACTGGCGAGCCTAGAGGGGTTCAAAATCTACAGTGTGAAGTATGGTCCTGTCTCATCTCAGCAATTATGTTATAGTTTTATTATCTCAAGTATTTTGAAAATAATGTAAAATGTAGTCATAATTATAGTAGCACATAATATCATATAACAAACCAGAACTTACAAAGTCTATTCAGTGGGAATCTTAGAATCGCAAGAATGATGACAATAAGTATTATAATATTTAAGGATTCTTAATCCTGAAAGGTGAATCTCATGTGTTTTGTGTAGGAGGAACAGATCATAAATGTATAGATTATTTGAGGAGGCAAATAAACCTTTAATGTAAAACAAAAAATAAGCATAAAAGAGAAAATGCACCAAAGAAGATAAACTGGTATGTCTGTTTATGTTTATTACATTTGGCATATTTTGTCTACGGCCATACCACCCTGAATGCGCCCCATCTCATCTGATCTCGGAAGCTAAGCAGGGTCGGGCCTGGTTAGTACTTGGATGGGAGACATTTGGCATATTTTTCAGTTTTAATATCCTTCATCTTCCTAGATTAGTTACTGTCTATTAGTACCAGCTCTAACGGTAAAACTTTAGGCCAGGACTCAGCTCAGCTGTGTAGCATTTACTCAGCATACATGACCTCTAAAAAGTATTAGTGATACTCTATCTTGGGATGCTGTGGTAGACAATAAGAGGTATAAGACCACTGTCCTCATGTTGGTGTCTGTACACCTGTGGGGAACCTAAGTACTCCCGGGGCCTAAGATCATGCCACGTCCACAGCAGTGACTGCCGTGTAGTGACAAAATGCCTCTGCGCTGGCTTTTGCCTGCTGAAGGATTGGGGTTAGAGCTTCTTGGAGCGAAGCCCCAGGTGGTCCCCCTGGCAATCAGCAGTCCAGAGAGGACCTGATGCCCTAGGCAAATCTCGTATCTGGAGAT